TAGCAAATATTGTTGTGTTACTTTTGACCCACTCTTGTGTTACTTTCATCCCTGCCTATGGGGTTAAAAGTAACAATGTGCAACTTTTGTTTAAAGTAAAGTTATATTGGAGTTGTTCTACACTGATACAAAATAACACCTGATTTTGAAAGACCGCTGTTGTGAGTTTTCCTGCAAAAAAACATTATCTTTTAAAATCATGTTTTTATGAAAAATTTTACTTTCGTCCCCGCTCTCCTCTAGTATGTCCCAAAACTTGCATACTTTGCTGTTACACACTCAAAATTATGTTATTTTTCTTCACCAAAAAAGTGCATACTTTTAGGACGTAGTATAAATATGCCAATGGGATGCAGCAAGACTTCATGCATATTTAACGAGCTGATTGTCTATATCAGGTGTGTTAAACAATAGACATGCAAAATATGCAGATTGTTGGGGCACGAGGACCAGGATTGATAAATACTGGACTAAACTGATCCCCATGTCACTGTAAAATCTCAGTTGTCATGATGTCAGACTGATTGAAAATCAAAATGCACCAAACACAGAAACATGCAAGGCTCATCTAGAGTATGATGTCATCCATCTATGATACGTTCAGTAACCTGCATTCTAAAATGATATCTCAGTGCAAACATAAGCAATGTGTAAAGGTAAATTTACTCATAATATGCCTTCATATTAATCTCGGAGTGGTTTGAAGATGTTGCACTGATTGGGTCATCAGGTATAGATCCTTTGGTTCTTGGATTATAACTCTTGGTCACCACAAAGAGTTTCATTGAAGCTAAATGGGCTGTTAGTAAACGTCAAACCAACATTCAAAGACCAAAGATTTAAGCCTTAATGATGTAGAATGGCAACGCAGTGGCACAGTAGGTAGTGCTGTCGTCTCACAACAAGAAGGTCACTGGTTCGAGCCTTGGCTGGGTCAGTTGGCGTTTCTGTGTGGAGTTTGTATGTTCTCCCTGCGTTTGTGTGGGTTTCCTCCGGGTACTCTGGTTTACCCCACAGTCCAAAGACATGTGGTACAGGTGAATTGGGTAAGCTAAACTGTCCGTAGTCAATGAGTGTGTGTGGATGTTTCCCAGAGATGGGTTGCAGCTGGAAGGGCATCTGTTGTGTAAAACGTATGCTGGATAAATTGGAGATTTATTCTGCTGTGGTGACCCCAGATTAATAAAGGGACAAAGCCGAAAAAAATGAATGAATGAATGAATATAAAAATATTTCAGGATTTCAAAAAATGTATCTCAAACAAACAATTTATGGCTGAATTGCACATTGTGAGTCTTTAGCTATAGCAAAATATCTACAAGTTTCTGCAAGTTTATAGTAATCTTGAATGATTTGATTAGCCTGTTATTTGTGTCAGGGGTAAACTGTGCAGGACAGTGATCCTCCAGGAACAGGTTTAGGCCATGTCCATATGTACACATACTTACAGAAACAGAAACAGAGTTTTTCATGTTTTCAGCCGACTAATCGACTGACAAACCCTCCTCCTTCCCTAAACCCAACCAATTTTATCAATTAACCCACCCTCCCACTTTAACCTACAATTTACAAATGCCATAAATATTTTTACCACATTCTCACCCTGTTGTTCACTCATTCATTTTATTTTTTGGATTGTGTTTTTGTCTTACCTGCCTTCTGGAACCACTACCCTGGACTCGAATACCGTTGTTGTCTCAAGGCCACCGACGTACACGACGAGCTAATTGGACAAACTGGTTGCAGCAGGAAAGCCCTTCACACGGATGTAAGCGGTCAGCCGGTATGCGTGAAAAGGAACAGCGTCCTACTGACCCGTATCGTTCGTTTAAAAAAATGAAATGCAGCCATAAGTACCTCCTGGTACATAATTTGCCGTCTCCAGAAACCACAGTCCACGGGACTACGTTTTCAGAATGAGCATGAGTTGGATTTAGCTCCTATTGATTCCTACTTTCGATGACTAGGTGCTCAACCCTGTTTTTGGAGATGTACTTTGTGCTGAGTAAAGCTGCAGTCACACTGGACTTTTCTCCCTATAGTCTTCCATTTATACGCACACAAATGCGTCAGACCGGAAACGCAAGGTTGTGCGTCAAGTTTTGCATTTCACTGCTTTGTAAAGTTAAGGTCGGTGAACTCTGTCCAGCAAAATCGCAAAACTTGAGTGCGTGAGACCAATCGAGGATCAAAACATGACCTCTCTGGACAGAAATGTTAAATATAGACCAATCGCTTTTTAAAATGTCTAATTATATTGTTTAATCCAGCCCCTTTTCGCAGAGCCGTACTACAGAATTACGCATGCTCAAACTCTAGTGTGACTGCAGCTTTATCCTCCCACCCTAATCACACCTGAACCAATTAATTAGGACTTGAACAGCACTTGATAATTACAGGCAGGTGTGTTTCGGTTGCAACTAAAATCTGCAAGAAGATAAATCACCAGAACCAGGGTTGGTCACTCCTGCCATGTTGGCGAATTGGAAATGAGAAAACAACTGCCATCATGAGGCAAAAACTCCAGTTTAATGGTCACACAACTACAGATATCTGAAAATCATTACAGTTTCACTGTGCCCTGATATTGTGTTTCCTGTAGACAGATAGCCAAACTATCTAGTAAAGACAGTGGTTTTGAAAATACCTGTGCTGGTAGACTCTTAAGGTCACTAACTCAACTCACAGTGAGCTACTGTATCGTCCTGTAGACCTCTGTTTCAACCCTGCTCCAGCATACTTACCTGCAATTATTAAGTAGCCCTAAACACCTTGATCAGCTGGTTCATATGTGTTTGACTACACTTGGAGTTGAAATCTCCAAGATAACATACCTGATGTCATTTATGTGTGTGAGTTATGTCATTGCCATGGTGTGAGCTAATGTCATTTACCACGGTTACTTTTTGTTGATGTATGACTGGCATTTACAGAGATAATTCTGCTTATGTGGTAGATCCACATGTATCCTCTCACACAGCTTAGTTTTTGTAATAATTGCAAAGGTTGTTATTGTTTTCATACTTTACATAATGTATTTTCTATTGCCCTACCTTTACTGTATCCCTAAACCCAACTCTCAGAGGAAACTGTTCACGTTTTACTCAAAAAACTCATTCTGTATGATTTAAAATCTTTTTGAGAAATGAGGAAATCAGCATTGTTCTCATAATTTGTAATCTCTTTGTAATACCTGTGTCATAAACATGTCATTAAAGATTTGTGTTTTGCCATGTCACAATTTAAAACATGCACACAAACACATGGAGCAGTAGGCTGCCCAGGGACCAATTGGGATTTAGTTCCTTACTTAAGGGACTCACATCAGCCATGGTATGGGCGTTAAAGCAAGTACTTGAATTCATCAATATATCTACAATGCCTGTCAGCGCCAGCACTCACACATGCAAGTCCAACTCTTTAACTGTTATGGCTGTCACTGATCTGTGCCACATGGGAGGAAATAATTGGGACATTTGAACATGTTAATGAAAATGTGGCCTTCCATAGGTAGTCAAAACAAATTAGGTTGTATTGTTTTTGTTGTGCAAACAGACACACACTGATTTAATTAATTGTTGAAGCACATTAGAGAGACAGATTTTAACATTTAACCCTGAAATTCATAAACTATTTTTTTTATGTAGCCGAGAGTAAAAGTTGCTAATTTGTTCTCTGTTTTCATCAGCTGTCAAAAGCACACAAGATGTAAGGCCACATAATGTTTAGGTAATACTTTATTTTGATGGTCCATTTGTTGAATTAAATTATATTGCATTTACATGCCAACTAATTGTCATTAGATTATAAGTAGACTGTTAGGTTGGGGATAGTGTTAAGGTTGGTGTAAGTTGACATGTACTTTCAAAATATATTACAGTCAGTTAAATGTCTGTTGAAGGGGCAGTATCAACAGATATTAAGCAGAAAGTCTATTAATACTTAAATGGACCATCAAAATAAAGTTTTACCAATGTTTCTTATGTCTGTGAATTATGGCCCTGGTGTGGTATGTTTTGGTTATTTGGTTTGGTGTAAAAATCCATTTTTTTTTTTTTTTAAATTTGACTGTGACTGATCCATAACAGACTGATTGGAAAACTAATTGATTTGAGCATAACAGTCTGTTGGAAACAAAATTCAGACAATCATGAAAAGACAATAAAGACTCTAAATACTCATTTAGAGTCAAGTCTTTCAAGTCTGTCAAGTCTTTCATGCTAGTTCACACACTATGATACATACTGTAGGCAGCATTACATGTTGCAGTGATTTAGTCAGTTTTTAGCTCAGTTTTTGGTTAGTTCATATAAATACACAATGTAATAGTCTCTATTATTAACTCTGCCTACGGTGTATACGTTTTAGAAAGACAGAATTTTAGAAAAAAATTATGTTTACACCATTACTTTTCCAACTAGCCTACTTACAAAATGTGAAGTGTACTTTGTTATACAGAAAAATATTGTACTCTACATAGAACATTTAAATCATGAGATCAAAACGTGAATAGATGTTAGATGTATTATTAATATATTATGATAACAATTTGTTTAATAACAGTTTATGTATTTGCTGTGATAATTTTTATACCGTTTATAATATATTTTGTGCAATATTAACCCTATTTGTTTGACTTGTATTCATTATAATCATGTTGTAATTGTTTAAATGTAGGCAATATGGCAGCTTTTCCCCATAACCTTATCTAAAGCCTACACACTGATTTTATAAAAGAGGTTGTTTACTAATACTCTAGAGAAAAGAATAGTCATCGATGTAAAACAACCATTATATACCAGTTGTTTAGTCATCCTCCTCAATTCACTCACTCAAGCACACAGTCCGGTTTCCTCCTCCCACCTACGTGCAGCCCGTCCGCCCGCGCGCGCGTTACGCATGAGAGATTCCGCTGCGTCCCTCGTCCGTGGGCCGCTGGTGTTGGGCTATAAGAGACGTGCGTCGAGCGGCGCTCCTCAGTCGCAGTCGACTCGAGCACCAGAGCTGACCGATAGAGCAGATAGCAGACCCCGATCAGGCTAACTCGCTCTCGGTTTGGATTTTGGGATGACAACTCGTGCGGCTGCGCGGAGCGCTCGTGCCTCCAAAACTCTTACCTTCAAGAGTAAGTACCAACTTTTTATTCTTGTTAGTTCATGTTTAAAGATTCTGCTCAGCTTTGGCACATAGACTGCACTTTTATTTTCTTAGTGAAACTTTAAGATGGAGTTTTTTCATTCAAGTAGATATGTACAGAAGCTAGATAATATAAACATTTAATTGTAATTACACTGAGCTTTTATGTATTTATGTACAACTGCTATGAATAGTTTTGTATGTTTATATATATATATATATATTTTTTTTTTACAAATTATTCAACATAAAAACATACATAAAAAGTAAATAAATAAATAGATATGTGTAAATAATACACAACTAACTGTCTAGTTTTCCAGTTTGAAAATCCCAGCTGACCTGACCAAAGTACAGTTACTTCTGACTATTTATATATTTTTTTCTTATTATTAATACATTCATTATAATAAAGTTTTTTTTTTTTTTAAGTATATAAACAAACTTTTTTTTTCAGATTTAAAAACATGTTTGGTAAGACCAGTATATATTTATTTACATTAGTAACCTTATTGAGCAAATAGTAAAAAGCAATTATGGAAAAAGGGTACGCAGTTAAATTTTCCACATTAGTGAGGAGCAGTGGATTAGAACACCTTGTTCTAGAAAGTTCATGGAGTGACCAGGTCATGGGTCAGGTAATAGGAAAATCTTGTGCAGGCAACATGAATACACGCCACATAATTAATTCACGCCATGCGTGTCTTTAAGCGCCACGTTATTGTCTAGAGTCACCGAACCCCATGAGGTGCCCTCTTAAATATAGATGAGCTGCAGTAATTGAATCGGGTTTGGTTTCACAAACCTGAAGTTAATCCAGCCTTTTTGTTTCACGCACTCTTAGGCACTGTTCTGTTCTACCCTGGTTGGACAAAGCCAGGGGATTCTCTGAGTTTTTCATATAATAGCTTTCTTCCAGCGTGACATCAATGCATATTAATTTTGGTTTCCTAACAAAGCAGCAACTCAAATTGCTTCTGCTACATAAATCCAGCACAATGGATCTGAATCACTTTAGAACTTTTGTTCATTTTGAAACAGCTTCTTCTCACATGCAAACATGGACATCATGTTAAGTCTCCCTGTTTCTTTCTCCCCAGGTGGTTTGACTCTATGGTTGGTGATATGGCTGTTGGCATGTCGCTGTGCACCAGGTCAAGCATGCCCCAGGTTGTGTGTATGCTACCATATGCCCATGACTGTGAGCTGTCAGTCTCAGAACTTCACTTCTGTTCCTGCCGGTGTGCCCTATGACTCCCAGCGTGTCTTCTTGCAGAACAACCGTATCACTGAGCTCAGAGCGGACTCTTTTGGCTTTGAAACACAGGTGTGGGCTTATTCACTGTATGTGTGAACATTATACTGAATTGCAAAGATACGCAGTAAGCAGAGATTTAAATTTGTCCTAATTGTTGATTCTGCAGGTCCTTTGGCTGTACTCCAATAACATCACATGGATCGAAGCAGGTGCATTCAGTAATCTCCGTGTACTAGAGGAACTAGATTTGAGTGACAATCCATCACTGCGCAGGTTGGATGGGGGTGCATTCAGGGGGCTGGAGCGCTTGCAGAGCCTCCACATGCACCGTTGCCACCTGACCGAGCTGCCTGCTGACCTCTTCCACAAGCTCTACAGCTTGCAGTTCCTCTACCTGCAGGAAAACCAGCTGACAAACCTTCCCGATGGCCTCTTCTCTGATCTGGTCAACCTCACCCACCTTTTCCTGCATGGCAATCGCATTCGGACTGTGTCTGAAAATGCTTTTCGTGGTCTGGTGAATCTTGATCGACTGCTTCTGCATGACAACCGCATTCGGCAAGTCCATCGGCGCTCCTTCCGTGACCTGGGCAGGCTGACCATCCTCTATCTCTTCAACAACTCTCTGCAGGAGCTTCCTGGTCAGGCGTTAAGGGATACATCATCCGTGCAGTTTCTCAGGCTCAATGGAAACCCCTGGACCTGCGGTTGTGAAGCAAGGTCACTCTGGGAGTGGTTCCGCAAAGCTCGGATTTCCAGCTCAGACCTAACCTGCTCTTCACCAGCCCCCCGTAAAGGCCAGGACCTGAGATTCCTGCGGGAGCTAGACTTTGCTCTCTGCCCCTTGCCTGACCCAGGTTCCATGGCAGGCACTACAACCACCACTTTCAGCACCAAAACACGTTGGTGGTTCTCAAAGAACAAGCCAGCCTCATCATCCAAGAGCCACTTTCATAAGAGCAGTGAGACCTTGAAGGCCTTCCCATTCAACTCTGGCAAGAATCCCTCATCTTCATCGACTTCCTTCTCATCCAAGTACGATCTCACAGCAGAGGAGGCTGCCTTACCCAAGCTGGAGCCTGAAGAGTACTGGGCAAACTATGGAAATGAGGATGCAGCCTCAGTTCGCTGTTTCGAACTTGAATGTCCACCAGGTTACGACTCTCCCATTCTCCCATCTTCCTCTTCGTCTTCACTTCTGTCTTTCCTCTCACTCACAGCACTGACTCTTTCTTTCCATCTGCTCTTCGGCTGAGTCTTTTTCTCCTCCTCTTCCTCTTCTGTTATCCTACACTACCTTTCTCCTGCGATCGGGCTTATGCTGATAAATGCATATAAGCAGCAATGCAGAAAAAAAGGGTGACAAGAAACTGGCACAGAACAACAACATTTATACAACGCATACTGTAAGGTGCAATATATGCAGAACAACTGAGCCAGGGATGAAGCATGTGTGCACCCCCAAAAGGCTTTGCAACACCAGCTCAAGTCATGTCCTTCTCTATAATGAGAGAATATAGGACAAGTAGAGGGGTAAAGAGGGACTGATGTGGTAAATGAAACTAGAGGTAAAGACGGCAAGGAAAGTCTCGACACAAAGAGAAAACTCTAAAACCAGCAACTGAGACTGTACCAGTTATGAATGACCGTCACATTGTCATGTACATAGGAACTATTCAGACGAATTAGTCCAAGAGAGTAAATATGTTCTAGTCATTAGATTAGAGAGTAGTTCTCTTTGTATTTTTGATGATCTTTGAGCACTACATCAGATTCGTCATCACATACAGTGGCTCCAAAATATATTTTTAGACACTTAAGCTCCAACAAAATGTCTGAATTTTAAAAAGAAGGTTTATATGGTAACAAGGTTTATTTATACGGTTAAGGTTTATTTATAACAAAGTTTATATGATAAAACAATAGAGAGACTGCATTTAGACATTCTGGTTGTTTTAGAGTAATGTGCATAATTATTGGCAGGAACTTATGGCAGATGCCCCTAGCTTTGATTTTGGCTTTGTGTCTAAAGACTTTTGGTGCCACTGATAAAGACGGTAACTAATGTTTTCATTTGTTAAGTCTGTGTTAAGAGCTTTGGTTCGTGTTAGTTAATCTGAGTTGTGCAGGGTATCAGGTGAAGGAAGTCAATGTTTAATTCAACCTGAAGAATTAAGGAAGCATTTGAGGCGAGAGATCTGTGTTTTCTCTGTTTAAGATAACGCCTAGTCTTTCTCTCAGAGCAAGTGTTCAGCTGTTAACAAAATGTCAAACACAGTCATGCCTTCTGTCTGAAAACATGTAAATAAAACCACCGTGAATAAAAAATAAACTATCTTTGACATATTATTGAATGATCTCTTATTGCAATATGCTGGGTTGTGAGTGTGTGTGTGTGTGTGTGTGTGTGTGTGGTCTTGTTTTTATATTAAAGTGGGGACTTAAACCTAAATGGACACAGATTATATACGGGACTTGTGTCCTAAATTGAGGTCCCCATGGGTATTAGGATTAGGGGTAGAGTTGGCAAACCAGACATAAGTATCTGCTTGTTGTAACGTATGGAATACTGTTTTTGGTCAAAGCCGCTACTCATTTGAATTGAGAAAATATTAGTTTATGACCACTTTTTAGTCATATTGCAAATTAAAGTGAAGTTTACATAAAATCATAGTGTACACAACAGTCTCTAGACTTGCTGCATCATAGACACCAATATTTTAACAATTTATAAAAAATAAAAAAAAAAATCACTTTCTGGCTGCTATTAGGAAATTAGGCATATATATATATATATATATATATATATATATATATATATATATATATATATAGCGATCATACATCGCTTTGTAAACTATTATTATTACCATTTGTTGAGCCATACAGTTTGGTAGGACGCTTAGACCTGGAAGCCACTTTGCGTGATGTCACATTTAACGAAAGGATATGTACAAGTGCCTATAGAAAATCAGCATATCCTGTGAAAATCAAAAATCTAACAAACTTTTACTCACATTACACCCTGCTTTCAAAAGACCTTCAGGATAAAGTTGACACAGGGTAAGAAAATGTGTGTGAGTTTGTGTAAAAGAGAGAGATAGCAATAACTGAGCAGATGATGATGGAGAAAGGACAAGAGATTACATTTTCAAATCTTACCCCAGTGCTAAAATAACAGTTATTACCCTGTTAATATTATAGAATTATACAAATACAGTTTGTAAATTCAGCCGATCTCTGCATCACAACAGGAGAACTTTTAGCTAAGTTTAGCATAGATCATTGAATCAGATTAGACCATTAGCATTTTGCTTAAAAAGTTTTGGATAAGTTTTCTGTTTAAGGATCAACTCTTCATCTCATGAAACCAACGTAAAATTAAAAGTTGCTTTCTTTTAGGCTGATATCAAGGAACTATATTTTCATTCAACACAGGCTCATTCTGAAAATGTAGCCCTATATACATTTCTGGAGATCATGAATTATGTAGCCAGAAGTATGTATGGCTGCATTTTGTTTTTTAAAAGAATGCTACGGGGTGATACACCGTTCCTTTTCGGGCTTAACAGCTGACCACTTACCTCCGTATAGACAGCTGTTAACAGTTTGTCCAGTTATCTCGCCATGCACGTCGGCACACTTGAGACACAGAAAGGAGTTGACCACAGTGACAGGGTTCGAGTCTGGTGAAAAACGATTTCAGAAAGCAGGTGAGACAAAAGCAGATGCCAAAAAATAAAATAAACAAATAAATAACAGGGTGAGAATTTAGTAAAATCTGAAAATGTAGTAAAAATCAGGCGAGGGCTTTTCTTTTTCTGAATTTCTTTTTAACACTGTTAGTTGGGTTTAAGGAAGTGGGTGGGCATTGGTCAATTAGTGCTTTAGAAAACACTATTGGTTGGGTTTAGGGAAAGAGGAGGGTGTGTCAGTTGATCAGTCATTCAGTCAGTAAAGCATAAAGTCAGTCAACCACGGCCTCTGGTGGATTTACAGGAGAACAGCAGGCGCAAATGACACTTGTGAGAGAAATTTGAGATCTCAAAAGGCACACACAGCAGCGTCTGGTGGATTCACAAAAACAGCAAAAAAAAAAAAAAACATACCTCCTGGGATGTATTTGGTGCTCTCCAGAAATGTATATAGTCCTACGTTTTCAGAATGAGCCTGGGTTGCTTTTATTTCGGCATAATAACCAAAAAAGAGAACAATGCCAAATTTGATTGTTCCATCCATAGACACGGAATTGGAAACACCTCACATTAGTTTTTTGTTATTTGATGCAAAGATATTCAAAATAAAAAATATTAACAACTTTCAATGATTTAAGATGCTGATAATTGTAAAAACAATTAATAACCTTCTTGTGAAATTAGTCTATTGTACTTTCCTAAACATATCCGTAAATTAGCAATTTTCCACATTTTGCGATTCAAAACACAAGACAATATTTTTAAACATTTTTTTAAACATAATAGTTCATTCATTCATTCATTCCTTTTTATTTGCTGTTCAGGGGCCGGGTCAAGGGGGCAGCAGTCTCATGAGAGAACTCTGAGATCTTGTCCTTTCGTTCATGACCTAAAGCTAATGACCAAAGGTGAGAGTAGGAACGTACAGTAGATTGACTGGTAAATCGAAAGCTTTGCCTTTCAACATAATTTCTAATAACACATTTTTTCTACTAACTAATTTTTCTAGTTACTTTGTAAGATATTCAGCTAGAAGTGCAATTTAAAGGCTTAACTAGGTAAATTAAGCTAATTAGACAAGTTAGGTTAAGTAAGTCATACATTTAAAAAGAATGTAGTCACGTTATATCCCTCACACAATGAGGGAATGCAAGAAAATTAAGACAGCAAAGCCTTACATTGCTATGATAGAAATATTCCCTTTATTCAGAACAAAGGAAAGAAATGGAAAAGAGTATTATCTGAATAGACAGTGATTATACTTTTTTTAATAAACCAAAAATTGCAATAGTACCAAACGCATTGCATCAAACTAATGATGTAGATAACATTATATGTATATGTATAACCTGCATTAAAGTAAATGCAGGTTATACAGTATGCTATAATTTCAGAGCTCCCCTATTAAAAGGAAGAAAAAGTAACTAAAAAGTTGTGTAACACATTACTTACCATAAAAGGTAACTGAGTAACACAACTAGTTACTTTTTTGGGAAGTCACTCAATATTGTAATGCATTACTTTCTGAAGTAACTTTCCTCAACACTGCTTTTAAGTTACAGTTAAAGTTAGTAAAGTGACATTTTTACAATTATTTGAAGTGATATATTGTCTGTATCTGTGTTGTAAATTACAGCACAAGAAAACCTGGTAATAAGCTTCCTTTTAAATTTTGTGTTAAGCAGAAAACGTTATTTACTATATATATATATATATATATATATATATATATATACAAACACACACACACACACACACACACATACACACACACACACACACACACACACACACACACACACACACACACACACACACACACACAGACACACTACCAGACAAAAGTCTTGTCACCTATCCAACTTTTAGGACAGCAAATAATAACTTGACTTCTAGTTGATCATTTGGTATCAGAAGTGGCTTAAATGAAAGGCAAAGGCCTCTAGATTCCACTTATTTTACCAAAATAAATATGATCATGTCTTGATTTTTAATTATGTAATTAGGACAGTAAGCTCTGACTTTGCTTAGACAAAAGTCTTGTCACTTAACAGAAATAATGTCCGGTATAGAGTATGAAGTTTTGATGCAGTGAAAAAAGAATTAATATTGTGTTTGTCTTCCATGAGCTTGGAGGACTGCATCGATACATCTCTGCAATGACTCAAATAACTTATTAATAAAGTCATCTGGAAAGGCAAAGAAAGTGATCTTGCAGGACTCACAGAGTTCATCAAGATTCTTTGGATTCATCTTCAATGTCTCCTCCTTGATCTTACCCAAGACATGCTCAATAATGTTCATATCTGGTGACTGGGCTGGCCAATCTTGGAGCACCTTGACCTTCTTAGCTATCAGGAACTTTGATGTGGAGGCTGAAGTATGAGTAGCACTATCCTGCTGAAAGATTTGTGCTCTCATGTGGTTTGTAATGTAACGGGCAGCACAAATGTCTTGATACCTCAGGCTGTTGATGTTGCCATACACTCTGCAGATCTCTTATACACCTCCATACTTAATGTAGCCCCAAATCATGATTTTTTTTATTTTGACTTGACTTATTTCTGTGA